ATCCATCCATCCATCCATCCATCCATCCATCCATCCATCCATCCATCCATCCATCCATCCATCATGAGTCTGTCAAAAGGCCAGTAATTACAATTGGCTTTGAATATGTGATGTTGTGAATTTTAAATAATGGAAATAACATTTTTATTTTATATTTAATCCATTAAATTTTATTCAAACCAATTTACAGCTCAGGCAGAAGAACTGATCACTCTTAAAGCCAGGGCAAACAACACTGAAGACCAGGTGAAGGTTCTGAGCAGGGAAGGAAAAGGTTTGGAAAAATAAATCTTAAAACATTTACATCAGGTATTGAATAATCTTAAGCATGTCCTGAAAGAAAAAATAGATTATATGCTTTTTTAACTTGTCCAATAAGTCATTTGAATTTATCCTTGTTTTCTAAGCTGATTGTAGTATGTTTTCTTTTCAAAATATTTTTAGCTTCAAACAACATCATTTTAGCAAACACCTTCTCAATGTATAATTGTTTCTAAAGATAAATAACTTTTTGATCTTCCTTATACTTACAGAGAAACGAGTGGCTTTCTCTGCTTCCCTGCTGGCCTCAGGTGGAGGAAATATAGGACCATTTAACACAAAGAGACCTCTAGTCTTCAGACATGTTGATGCAAATATTGGCAATGCCTACAACTCAAACACAGGTACTCTAACATATATTTAAAATTAGTTTATACCTAGTTTATGATTTTTTTATATATATATAAAGATATATAATTTACAGAAGAAAGTTAAAACATAAACATTGTGCTTCACAGGTTTTTTCACTGCACCTGTAAGAGGGGCTTATCACTTTGAGTTCCACATATATGGGCATGGACATGTGTCACACCCTACAGGTGCTTTGTTGGTCAAAAATGGAGGTCCTATTTGCATTGCTTGGCAACATCAGCCTTCTCATTCTGTTATACCATCAAATGGTGTCACATTGCTGTTAGAGATTGGAGATGTTGTATTATTGAATCAATGGGAACACACAACAGTTTTTGATGATCATAACCATCGTACTACCTTTAGTGGTCATTTGCTTTTTACTATGTGATGTGAAATATTTCTTGTTCTCCTTGTCATAACATGCCACAGAATTCCATTAAAATGTATAAATAAAACAAGTTTCAGGGACTTGCTACAATTCCTTTCCACTGTAAAATTATACAAAAATTGTATTGTCTATAAATTAGGGTTTTATGTGTAGTATTTAATGAAAATGTTTCAGAATACTTGGAGAGTAGTACAAAGTTCTACACATAATTGTGGATGACCATGTACCTAATCAGAAGTTTATGTAACCCGGTTTATATCATTGACAGAATAAAATAAAATTATACCAAGAGAGTTTTTTGTTGTTGTTGTTGTTGTCCCTTTAAACACAAGCCATCTGATGGACATACAGATTGTGTGTATATTGGGTCTGTAGGTTGATGACCTATTATGAATGCCTAGACATTATTCTGATCATTCAGTTCATTTATTAAATAGGGAATGTTTCTCAAAAAAAGGGTTAAAAGCAAAGAAACATCTTCAGAGAGAATATTAACATTTTTGACAAAATTCAAACTAAGTGTTGTGTAATGGATCCTCTTTGAATAGTGTTTTTAGGATTTAAAGTCTTTCAGCTGCCATATAACAGTAAACTACTATTCTACTTCTAAACTACTTACTAATAAAAGTGTAATTTCTAAGCATTTTTTCGAATTCTGTTTTGTACAACTGCATCATTTGACGTAAATTCAGCGAGTTAACAGTCAGTGCTGCTTCCAGGGGCGTAGCCAGAGTATTGTATGTTTTGGGGGGGGAGGGCAACATTAGGCACAGAGGTAGCAAGGGGTGGTCAACAAAAAGAAGAACCAAATGCAGACAAATGCAGTTCACAAGCCTTCCTGCTTCATAACATTTAACAGAAATAAAAAATTAGTTCATGGTAGTATACCTTTTAACATACAATATTCAAGTCGAATATTTGTTCTCAAGCAAAAAGCACTTTATTTAAATTTCAAAAAAAGATATTAGTCACAAAAACTGTTGTATAACTTTAAGTTTTCTGTTGCTTGCACGTGAGACATTTGACAAAAAGGTTAGGGCTTTATCTTTCTTAGAAATTAACTATTAAATACCCAATAAGTCATTCATCTATTTTGCACATCATTAGGCTAATTGTATGCAGGGATTAAAGCAAAATTAAAATCCTGATCCTGAACTTTTTCGACACAGGCAAGAAACACATATTGTATGTATATATATATATATATATATATATATATATATATATA